GTAAACAAAAAGTAAATGGTGCCACACTAGCCTTTTAGCTCCTTTCACTTTCTCAAAAAAAAATGGAGAAATTGAATGGAAAGTGTAGGGAGACGAAAGAGAAATAAAAAAAATGGAGAAATTTAAATTAGAGCTCAAATTTTATTTTGATAGGAAGTTTAATAATCATTGAAACCTATTATATTGAAAATTTTGAGCTTCTAGTCTGAGCAACACCAGCTCATAAATAATGTCAAAGATATTTGAACTTACATTAATATTTAAGTTCACTGTTTCTAAGTGAAAGTTATATAGCTTTTAGTATAGAAATTTTTGCTCATAAATATGTCTAAGGTCAGGATTATTTTCTTTAGAAGATCTTAACAATATATTAGAGTCTTAGAAATTAATTATACATCATAAGATAACATTATTCCAACTTAAAATAATATTTTTTATTCACATAAGTGGATGTCATGTCAGCTGCCACATCAGCACCATCTCAACTTTCCGTATTTTTACTCTCTTATTTTCCGAACAAGATTTACAAATAGAAAGTAAATAGAGAGTACTTTCTTAAGAAGATACTTTCTCTTCACTTCACAGTTTTTGTTTACTTTCTGGATGTCAAACATGCCCTAACACTAGGAGCCAGATAGGGGTGATAAATGATCGAATCGAATCAAATACTAAAGTGTTCATATTTGTATTTGTTTAAAATTATCGAATTCGAATGCGGACTCTAATATTCATATATCTAGTTTTTCGAATTCGAACTCGAATACTTGCTATTTGATAAATATTCATTAATATTCATGAATACTTATCGAATATCAAAGTATATTTATTCCGCTAAGAAATATGATTTTCAAATAGTATTAAAATTCATAAATAAAAATTATTCTTTTATAATATATGATGTATATATATTTAAATCAAGATTTTAATTAGAAAACATATTTAAGATTATTTAAGTCTTAAAATTAGTAATAAGTAGGAATAATAAGTAGGTTAAAAATATGACATCATATGTGCAATAATACAAATAATAAGTTGTGATCAAATTTTAAACAAATATTTAATAGACAAATGAATCGAATATACATCTGGTTAAATTCTATTCGTTAGTAAACTCGAATACTAAAAAATATTTATTTAGTGGTAAATGAACTACCGAATCGAATATGACCGAATAGTTATTCGAACAATTATCGAACTATTTGTTAATTATTTGGTTCATTTTCCACTCCTAGAGGCAGCAGCAATGAGTTGAATATATGGAAAACATCTACACTCGTTTTCATATTGTTTGAAGGAGGGGGGATTCATTGGGGTGGCTGAGAGGGGGAGAATTGAGGGAGAAGAAGGAAAACTAGATTGGTGTTGCTTTGGCTTTCTCAGTTTGTTCTAGGATATAGATGAATTGAGGGAGAAGAAGAAAAACTAGATTGGTGTTGCTTTGGCTTTCTCAGTTTGTTCTAGGATATAGATGATGATGGGGATTTGCTTTCATCTATATGATAATTTCACAAAAGTACCCCTAAACCTTTCTTAGGGCCTGTTTGGAAACTAGAATTTCATTTCAAATAGTGTATTTGGCCCAATTCTAATGTTTGGATCCATAAGAATTTGAATACTGGATATTGGTCTAAATCCATTTAACAGTTTAAACCTATACTAAACCCATAATTCTAAATCCTGATTGATAGACTGTCATTTGTAATTCCCGTTTCTTCTCTCTCCACTTCCGCTCTCACAAATTCCCCCCGCTCTCGCGATTCCCCCCTCGCGATCTCTCAGCCGACGGTGGCGACGACGACGACGAGATCTCTCCCCGCCGCCATCTCCAAGGGCGACGACCTCTCCCCCTTCATCCGTCACGCCTTCGCCCAGTCCAAGACCGAGGCCCTCCTCCACAACCTTCGCCTCTTCGACCGATCCAAGTACTTCATTCGCGCCGTCGACGACCTCCACTCCCTCCTCTTCGAGGCCAAAACCCTAAAAAGCTCGATCTCCGACTTCAACTCCACTTCAACAATGTCCAGCCAATCTTAGCTCTTCATCGGCTCCTCAAACCCTAAGCCAAAGGTTTGTATTCTAGTTTTATGAATTGAATTTCCAATTTTACAAATTAAGTTGGAAATTAGCTTGCGGACTGAGATTTTTTCGAATTTTTGTGATATTTTGTGATTTTTTGGGTGTTCGGTTATATATTTGTTAAGATATGTATGATTGGATCTAGTGATGTTAGTAATTAAATGTTTGTTGACTGAATTGCTTAAGAATTTGTAGATCTATTAATAATCTCATTGATTTGTTCATGGAAATTACACTGGACATTTTATTTTATTTGCAGGCTACTGTCAGCAAAGCAGGAGGATATTCAAGCTAGAAGTATATATTGTAAGTTCCCGCACAGTTGTCTAATAGAGTACTTTTGAAAAAGTTAGGAGGAATATATTGTGCATGTTATTTATGCCACATGATAGGAGAAGTAGCATTACAAGTCACTAATATTCAAGTAGCTTCCAGTGTTTCATAATAGGCCCATGGATATCCCACTTTGGTAGAGCAGCTGCAGGTCGATCGAGTTGCCTAAGGCAGGTGTAGACCGGTCCCTACCAGGCCTATCATCTCTAATCTCGTACTCGCACGCGCATCCACACCCGCACACACCTAACAATGGCGCACACACATGCACACACAAGATAATAACTTCACTTTGTAACTGGGTGTTTTGTTCCTAACTAAATATTAACTTGTGCTGAATGAGGTTAGACAGGACATAGAGATTCCTTCCTACTCCATGTTACATGTTAACCAAGCAAATTTGTTATGACACAAAGCAATTTATGAAACCAATACATAACTGCATCTTTTTTCTTTTTTTTAATATTGATGGTTCGAGTTACTGGCTGAGGTCCTGACTAATAGTGGGCGTATTGGTTGTTTTGTCCTAACCTAGTAATTAACCAGACAAATCAGGTTAGACAGGTTGATGTGAGATCATAACCTTTGTCAGCAAATTAACTTTATTTTCTTGGGTTAGCTGGTTGAGATCACTACCCTTCTGATGTGAATTCTGGTAATCTCGAGGTCTTTTTTCAGGGAATAGGAATTTCAACAAAAACTAGCATTAATTGACAATTTTTATCCTTACGCAAGTCATTTTCAAACCATTATATCATTTTTATTTTGTTTCATGCTTGGATATATGAATGGTTAATTATGTATTTCACGTTTGTATATGTCTGTTGGTTTGCAATGAGACAATAGCTCCTTCATATATTGATCTGTTGATGGCAAAGGAAATTTTTATTCTAAGGCACAATTTAGTAAATAACCATCTACTTGTCGAATGAGTTATTTTCTTTTTAATAAGAAAAAAGAGCATACTCCTTTCTTGTGCACATGTAGATTCCTTTCTAGTATCCTTTAAGTATGACTGTATAAGCTACTTGAGTTTTGCCTGAGTTTTTTTAATGATTTGTTAATGATTGAATATAGGCAAAAAGTTATAAATTTAACAAAGGGTAAGTTGTCGAATAAAATGAGTAATGATGACTCAATGATTTCTTAATGACATATATTTAGAATGATGTGATTGATGGTGTTTTGAATGATGTGATTATATATTGTTTCATGATGTTAAAACTAGTTAGAGACCATGGTAAATTTTGTTAGTTATTAGTTATATGGTGGTAGCACTTCTTTGAAATCTTGGATCCGTCGTTGACTAGATAATCAATAATTGTAATAATATAGTGGTTTCTCCATTTTTTTTTTTTATTGTGGAGAGGATTTGATTGTCTGCTCATTGTGAATGAATAAAAAGGATCTTGTGCATTAACCAATAAAGAGACATTTTCTTTAACAACTAGTAAGAATTTAGCATTCTATCCATAAAAAAGGGACACCAGATAGTCAAGTGGATATTAATGATTACTACGAATTACAATCCTGCATATTTAAACTAATCTTATGAACACCAATTATTTCATGCTGATGCAAATTTCCATCTTTTCCTTTTCTATTTTCCAGCGGACATACCCAACTAGTTCTTTAATTCAAATATACTTGACGGCAAACGGAATTACTTCGTATTTGGTTGGCCAAAAAATATCAAAGAAAGCAATTAAAAGAAACATATTTTCTATAATGACGTTCTTTTCTTTATTTAGTTCACACCTTAAAACTAAGCACGAATATTTTCTATAATGACGTTCTTTTCTTTATTTAGTTCACACCTTAAAACTAAGCGTGGTTTTAAGCGCGAATAAGAAGTGGCACATTGGCATTGGATGATGTAGCTTATATTTAAGAAAACTCATTTCATGAAATTTTTTTAAGGATTTGGATGGAAACCTACTTTTAATTGTTTTCATCTCTTTTTTTCTTCTTTTTTTTCTTTTTTTTTTCGAATAAGCCAAACAAAAACAGCCCCTAGATCCATGCACACTCAGATTCTTACAATCATTCACAGAAAAATACAGCTACCCACATGATCAGCATGTAAAAGCTTCAGAAACAACCGAGTCTCAACCATACTGAATTCAGGTTATACTTTAGGTTTGTTTTTTTTGGAAACCACCTTATATTTAAGTCTCTTTACACAAACACCTTATGTTTTCAATTTCTACCAATCAACCACTTGAGTCCACTTTCCTCCTAAAATTCCAACAATACCCTTGCCTTTGAGACATTGTCCACTTTCCTCCTAAAATTCCAACAATACCCTTGCCTTTGAGACATTGTCCACTTTCCTCCGAAAATTCCAACAATACCCTTATCTTTAAGACATTGATGTGGCTGGGAGTTTGTTAAACAGGCATCACACGCATTACACGTGCAAATTGAAATGCATGTGCAAATTGGTGAAGAGATTGTCGGGAATTCAGGGAAATTTTATGAGGAAAACGGAGTTATGTAGTTGATTAGAATGAAAACTAACGTATAAAATGGTTTGCGCGAAATGATCTGGGATTTCCAGGGAAAACCGCTATATTTTTTAAACCAACGTATAAAATCATGAACAGAAAGAAATGAATTTACCAAGCAGCTGCAGTACATCCCTGGGAGCGAGCTACTTGTACTAGGACGAAACATTTGATGATCTTCTCAGGTATTCATGTTCATCAATTTAAAAATTCAAATATTGCTAAAACATTTTTACATTAAGTCAAAATTTGAACCGCATAGGAACACTTTTGAACAACCACATGGGACACTTTCGAACAAGGCTGAGCTTGAATCTGAGAAAGCCACCACCATGCAGCAGTGAGTTATCAAGTAGATAGCAAACGTTTGAACAGCTCATGGCTCTTGCTTCAATGTGATATCGATAATCCCAATGGGGGACTTTGGCCGGTAGTGTTCATCAGTGTCAACTTCTTCAATTTCCTGAATACCATAAAGCATTGGAGTTAAGTCTGTGGAAAGAAGACGAGACGGTCATGGGTACAAGAATCAGATTTCGATGAAAAGTTGCTAAAAGTTAACAATTCACGGAAAATGCAATAATTGCCGGGAAAAAAAGAAAAGATACTAGGTTCACAAGAAAAATAGTGACCGCAAGGGTAAGAAAAATTTTCACCGTCACATGTACCTTGTTGCCTGATAGCAAAGATGTACTTCGAGGTGCAAAATACGTTGAACTATTCTATAAAAAGTTGAAGAGCTAAGATGTACTTTGTTCTTTGTGAATATTATAATGTGACAGTATAATTATACTTCTGCCCAGAAGCACAATTTACATGTTCATGTGTATGCATATATCAAACATCCTATATAGTTTCCCTTTTATGACCATCGAATCATGTCTGATATATTGTCATATTGCTAGATCATCTCCATCACTTTCTATGAAGGTCCATGTAGCAGTATCTGCGTTGTTTTGTGTGTGTCACAGCAGCAACCATGTTTCTTAGGTGAGCAAAGGAAGATTTTCTTGGTTGATATTCCAGTGCACTATATTACAGCTGTATGATTAAGCTACACATAATTTGACGGATACCTTTATTAAACATTCAACTGAAAGCACTTAACAATAAAACCTTTACTTCAAACTAGGGTTAGGGGATCTACTATGGGAATTCTTTTCTTCCATCCAAGATTTGTTAAGACTATCTTCCAGATCTTACTTTAATTGCCTCCACCACCCACATATGTTTAGGCCTATCTCAATTCCTTGTTCCCCCATTAATTATTACCAGTAAGTTCTTTTTAACTGCATGCTCATTGGCTTCTATAACAACCAAAAGAAAGATTTGTGCAATTGTGTGAGAAAGACCAAAAGGATGATGGCTAGGCTCTCAGCCACTCTAAGTAAGCCAGTCCATAGAAAATAAACTAGATATGCCAAGAATCTGGAGTACAGTTCCACAAAATGAAAACAAAAATTGGATGCTTACCCAATGTATCTATTATCTCTACACATCGTTCTATTGAATCCTGCTGCACTATCAAACATTTTGCATTACTATAATAACAAAGTCTTCCTATCAGCTGCTTTATAGTCTGATAGATGGTTATTTTCTTCTACAAAATCATCAATTAATGTTGCTTTGACATATTCTTCTACATTATATGGCAGGCTATGGCCAAAAAACTTGGGAACATCTATATGGTGTTGCTTGGTGATACATTTCAAGTCAGAAATATAATTTTACCAAAGATTCATTAAGGGGAAGAACGTTTATGTCTCTTGGTGCTCTCAGACTGTTTGCATCTATAGGAAATTCCACGCAAAAACTAGCAATTTAGTTGATAACTGTCCTTTACAAATGTTTTTCTTAATACACAAAAAGAGTTTAATTAAGTTGTACCTCTTTCGATTACTCTTCTATTTTCCATTCTTCATTCTCCCTCTTTTATCTCCCTTTCCTCTTTAATTTAGGCATCTTAAATCATAAAAAGAAAGTTTCCCCATGTGTGAAAACACATGACGCGTCTGATACATGTGGTCAAAGCTATGAGGTCAAGGAAGATGTATGTGCCAAATCGTCTATATATATTTGTGATAAGCAACGATATTAATCCTTTCGAGACTAAATGATGGAGCAGCAAGCACTTAAAGATGAACAAATGGCACTCAAAAATGTGACAATGGAAAGAGAATCAGGAATCATATTGATTAATATAGAATTTGATACTCATTTTGACATAAAGGAAAAGAAAAAGTAAAGCAAAGGCAACTAGTTGATTACCTGGACGACATCTTCCCCCTTGATTACTCTCCCAAACACAACAAGTTTGTCATTTAAGTCTGGAATTGGAGCAGTTGTAATAAAGAGCTCAAAACCCTTGCTTTCTGATTTAGCCTTTGTGGTTCCAAGCATAAATGCCTCGTGCTTTGGGCTGATGCCACACAAGAATGTTAATGCATTAGTGAAAAATATAATAACTGGATGAAAACTACTAAGCATGCTAACACAGTTTGGAGTTCCATTAGAAGGAACATATAACTGTTAGAAGTAAGAAATTAACAAAATAGGGTACAGATGATAAACCTCATAGCAAATTTACTGTGGGCTTTTCCTTTCAGAGTCCAATCCTCTGCAGCCCCAAGATCTTGGAAGTCACCTCCTTGAATTACATAGTGTTTGATTACTCGATGAAAAGGCATCCCTTTGAAATGTCCTTTTTGACTGCCAAATGAAACATTCATCAAAATGCTAATGATGGAAAAAGACATGAAAGAGATGAAAAATAAGTACCGCTTAAATAAGATATTTTGTGGAATTGCTTCATTAGTTGGCTTATATCAGTGCCAAAAGATGAATGTGATTCCTTTTACCAAATAATCAGCTACAAGCCACATAATCTTAGATGTTATGCACATTGTTTGCCTTAAGACATTTGTTTATGAACTCTAGGATATCTTTGAGAACTCTCTTTGACCGTATATGCATAAACCACATAAAACAATTACAAGCCAACTAACCTTCTAGTCCCCTTGGCAAGCCACTCTTTTTTACAAAATTTTCTTAGGCCCGAATTTGGTACTAAATTGAGAGGTTCGATATCATGTTAATAGTACGGTATAATGCATACATTTATTCATATCTTCTTAAGACCTTTCTCCCCACAAACTTGCTCTTCACAGGCAATTTTATTCTATCAGGAAACAGTTATACTAGCAAAGGAAACAGTTATACTAGCAAAGCTAACAGGCTATAGCAGGAAAAGACAAACAAACACGTAACACAACATTAGCAAGCACATCTCCAAATTATAAAGTTAGTAACAAACCCTGCATCAGGAGAAGTGCTCGTATTTTGCTCCATTTTCACCTTCTTTTCCAGTATAAATGGCATAATCCTCCCTTGTCAAATACCACACAGCCCCTCCTGTGAAGCTTATGGTCATAATCTATGTTACGTGGGTACTTCAAATCAGAAGCTGTATCCATACCTGACACATACCCGTACCCGTACCGATACTTCTTGGACACTTTTTGAATATATGCATATGATTATTCAAGCATACGCTCAATTATATAATACATATTTTAATTTAAAACAATTCTCATAGGCTTTTTGGACGTATATTATACACTTCACATTTATTTCTTATATAACGATCTTATGTAAATGAAAAATAATATTGATCTTACATAAGTTATTAATTTTAAGACATAAATACACGTAATATACAAATATAGCCATTTCCCCATACCCTACCTTGCGATGATGTGATATCCCTTATTTAAATCTAGGTACTGGGACATAGATTCCATGTGGCTTAAAAACAAAAGGAGATGACACCCCCTAGGTCCAAACAGGGTCGGTTTTCGTATGCCCTGACTGACGCAAGTTTTTTTTTTACAAAATTAGGTCAGGTTGGGATCAAATCCATTTGGTCCATAGCCTACCCAAAAATCTAATCATGTTAGATTCTTTCTATACTACGACCCTGAATATTGGGGCTTGTTTGGGAATCTGGGTTCATTCTGTTCCCGTTAGACAGGTAATCGATTAAATTCCCAGCCCCATTACAACATATTTCACATGTTTCTAAACTGATATAGCAGGTGTATAGCAAGCTTAATAACAAAATGTATAATAGATTTCACTGTGCACGGCTGCACATTGAATATTGATGAAATCACGAGAATAAGTTTACTGAATGCTCACCACAAGTCAAGGAACTTATCCACAACCTCAGGAGAAGCATCCTTATACAGCTCCGCAGTTATTGAACCTTTTGCAGTGTTTAAGATCTATTACAACATTCAAACAATTAGAACTAAGTGGAGAATAATATTTTAGATTCCAACAATGTTAAATTAAATAATGAGACTAAGTGCATAAAATAATCATAATGTGCTCTAAATACGTACACAGACGGAAAAAATTCTGCTGAAATAAAATTTCTCTTAATAACAAATTAACAATTATGGGCCTCTAGCTCTTTACAAAGACAAAAAGAAGCAATTCCTGGCTAAATACATAGTTAACGTTAAGAGTTGGCTATCAATTATAGAGCACTACATGTTATAAAGGTAAGCGAAGAACATTCAAGTAATGTTCACGTAGGTGTGCTCTCTTCCTTAATATTAACAGACCTGTAGATGTAACAATATGTAATTCTTATAAAGCCATTTCTCTTGTTAAAATCTACTACAGCCTTATAGAGAAAGCTTGCTATTCTGTAAAGCATCAATAGTGATACAGTAATACAATAGGATACTACTAGAAATATCAATAAGTAATTCTTATAAAGAAATAGGATACCTTACATCAAGCTCTGTTTGTTCCCATTGCAGATCAGGTATGAAAAGCACCGACAAAGAGATGTATTATACATGTTACATAGTTTTGGATACATGAAGTGTATGAGTGAATTCATCATTCAAGCATCCGTTTTCATCCTTAACCAGAAGTCATGACAAGCTAAACAAATGTTTACTGGATGTTGCTAGGTACGTATGTCTCTCCCACTGAAGGATGCATATCCAAGTAAATTCCAATGATACTTATCAACAAACCTAGTCTAAAACATTAGAAAAAATAAAAAGCAAATAAAAGTAATCAGATGACAGATGCTAGTTTCAGCAATAAATTCAGAACACATTTACATACACGAACTGCCTATGTATCATGTATCTCTTTGTCTGCTCTCTTTTTCATAAATGGCATCATCAATACCATATATTACTGTCCCTATTTGTCATGTGAATTTCGTGCTTTTCTTTAGCTTACAGACTAAGTGGGCATCTGATAAACCAGGTATCAAGTTTTTTGCCAGTCATATGAAAAAAAGGTAATAGAAGGAAATGGAACATTCAATTCAATCCTCGCGCTTATAGTCTTTGAATAATAAGAACAAAAAATAATTAATAACACCATAAAATTGCATCAAATTTTATCCCAAACTATTGAAGTCAAAATAGCAACCATGGCCCCCATAAACATGCAGATCAGTCATGTAATATATATAACCACTATAGGCTATCATATTATTAGAAATGAGTCTGCTCACATTACATGCATGTGATCTCTGTGCAATTTCTTTTTCCTCTCTTTACCAACAGCCTCGCTATCATCATAACAACATCATTGTTGTAATCAAAACTATTATCATGTCCATGCTTTTTTAGTTAACAACTAAACAGTGTAGATGTGAAATTAATAGCACAGGAATATCCCACTCTACCCTC